GCCAGGTATCGAGGCCCTAAACCATTTAGGGCTTTATATGTAAGCATTTTTGAAGTCAATGTGGAATCGAATGGGCAGCAAATGAAAAGCGGCCAGAGCAGGAGAGGTAAACATGCTACAGGGCAATATGACTACAACTCCCAGAAAGCACCACAGCAGCTTCCATTTTTGCACATTAACCATAGGAAGCAGGACAGAGACAGGCAGAGAGGCTTCAGGACAGACCCAAAACAGGGAAGCGGACCTCTCTCCTAGCACAGCTAACACCAGCATTAAGGACCCACAAACTCAAAATCACCTCAGGATAGGGTGGGAAATGATACGCCTCGGCCTATTAACAAGTGGGGGCCACAGCCACTGTTTTACTGCATCTCCCTTCGCAAATAAGTGTTTATTTTTGAATTCAGAGGCAAGCATCCCGCCCTGACCTTGAAAAATGGATTGCGTCCTTCGCCCAGTCCTCTCATGACCAAGTTCACTGCATGTGGAAAAGGGGTCTGGTCATCGTGCAGAGTGTTCAATTCTAGGCCAAAAGCTACCTGGTAATATCAAGAAAAAGAAGAAGATTGACCAAAAAACTGTGGAGCTGAGCACTGCTATTTTTTCAAAAAAGCATAAAAATACATATGTTATTCTAGCTCAGGGGCACGATCTGACAAATATTTCAAGAGGTCAATACAAAAGTACAGAGTTTGAAATTTAAATGCCGGCTGCTGGCATGCCTTCACAAGAAACATTACAATCTTGGTAGGGGAATGGGAATCCTTGAAATAAAGGAAACGGTCTAGTTCTCCATGAGAACTAGATCTTTTGGTCTTAGCGGGGGGAGCACTTTGTTTCAATTTTGTTTGTCTATAAATTTTGTGTTTTGTTTGTTTATTCATTTGTTATTCTGTTTGTTGTTCTTTTGTTTACAATATGTTTTCATTTCATAAAATAATTATTCAAAAAGAAATTAAAAGTAAGTGTTGGCAGCTCAGCCAGAATGCAGAGATACTATAAGGAACAAATTTTAATTCACATTACATCTTCTTGTTTTGCGTTATTTAGAAAGAATCCCTGCAATAGAGTCATTTCACACCGGCTGGCTAAATATTGATTTTCTGCAAAATCACCAGATGATTCAGAAACATTCTTTTTTCTTTTTTCCCCCTCACTTTTTATTTTTTATTTTTAATCAACTACAAACAAATATACAATATAAAATACAATATGAAATAAAACAGGAAAGAAAGGGAAGAAATAAAAACAAAATGAAGGAGGAAGAAAGAAGAAAAACCCCAAACCCTCCCCCCCTTTGGCGACAGAGATTCAGACCTCATTGCATCCCAAATTTCCCAAGTTTTCAGAGAGCATTGAAAGCGAAAAAGGAAAAACAAAGCCCATCAATCATTTTGTCCTATCCTCTAATCTGTCCCTGGGCCCAAACTTATATTAAATTCCAACTTTGTTTTGCATAGTCTCTTGGTTGTTCTCTTAGTGCTTCTGAAAGTGTGTCTAGTTCTGTAATGTCCAACAGCTTCTTCAGGAATTCCTCCATTGTAGGTATGTCTTCACTTTTCCATTTTTGGGCCCAGAGTAACCTAGCCACTATAAATATGTACATCAAACAGTATTGAATTTTCTTATCAGTAATTTCTGGCATAATATTTAATAGTGCTATTTCGGGTTTGAAATTTAATTTCTTTTGAGTGATTCCTTTTATTATTTCCCACAACTGTAACCAAGAACCCCTGGCTTTTTCACATGTCCACCACATATGGTAATAAGTTCCTACTTTTTTTTTTTACATTTCCAACAGATATTGCTGTTACCTTCTGACATTTTTGCCAGTTTTGCAAGGGTGTAGTGCCATCTGTAAAACATTTTGAGGATATTTTCTCTTAGATTTACTGGCTTAATCATTTTATAACAGTCTTTCCACATCATTGTCCAGTGATCAATGTCAATATTATAACCGAAATTACTTGCCCATTTTATCATCGTCTCCTTTACCCTATCAATTTTCTGCAAAATCACCAGATGATTCAGAAACATTCTTTTTTCTAAACTAGGCAGTCTCCAGATAGCCACCTGTTGGGGAAGGTTCAGGGGTGGGCTTGATGACCCTTTGAGATCCCTTCCACCTCTATGATTTAGTGATTGTACAACATTAATTTAGGTAGAAAGAGATCAAAATTGCTGATCCCCTGGAAATGTCAAGCCTAATGTTTCTCTTCTAATTATTTTGACCAGTTACTTCATCAAAGCCAATCCTATGCCATTCTAAAACGAACTGCTGGATTTTTCTGTTCCTCTTTAGGTCTGTGGTCTGAAGGAAGTCCTTTATGTTAATTAACAATTCATATGTGCTAGCTGTTGTCTCCTGTCTCTGTCAGGGCAGCTTTAATCAAATGCAGTCAAAACAGTTTTTTTGATATATTAAAAAACTTAACAAACGTATCTCAATATAAACTGAAAGACCAGAGCCGGATTCATAAGATTCTGGTTATGCTTTCTCACTCGCCAGGTTACAAAATCCACTCTCAAACGAAATCACCAGATTTTCAGGGAGCATCCCTGTCTCCTTTCCCCTCCTCACTTTTCAATTAATTCCTTGCTCTGGGCCTTGCTGTTGTTTAGTCGTTAAGTTGTGTCCTACTCCTTGTGACCCCATGGACCAGAGTACGCCAGGCCCTCCTGTCTTCCACTGCCTCATGGAGTTGGATGAAATTCATGTTGGTCGCTTCGATGACACTGCCTATCCATCTTGTTCTCTGTCATCCCATTTTCCTCTTGCCTTCACACTTTCCCAGCATCAGGGTCTTTTCCAGGGAGTCTTCTCGTCTCATGAGATGGCCAAAGTATTGGAACCTCACCTTCAGGATCTGTCCTTCCAATGGGCTCTCAGGGTTGATTTCCTTCAGAATGGATACAATTGTTCTCTTTGCAGTCCAGGGGACTCTCAAGAGCCTCCTCCAGCACCACAATTCAAAAGCATCAATTCTTTGGTAGTCAGCCTTCTTTATGGTCCAGCTCTCACTTCCATACATCG